TAATTTCGACTTATCGAAATAGAATTTGAGAACCAAAACAATAATAGTTACTGAATCCGAATGCATGAATATGAATTCATTTCTTTTAATTCTTGAACGAAAGCAAGTTATTCTTTGAATCAAACATCGCAAAACAAACGTGCAAATAATGTTAATTAGTTTCTGAAATCAAACCATAATTAAGAGAAATTAGAAAATGAAGGAAGAAAGATGCAAGTGATGAATTTTTGATCGAGGCAAGTGTTTGACACTTGGTTCTTAAGATGAATTTGCCTCATATCGGTGCTAACAGTTTTTCAGCAATCATCTCCCAAGATACAACGATCACGTCGAGACATAGGAGCACTCCAAATAACTTCGACTAGCGAACTCGAATGAAATTTTCTCTCTACCATAAACATGACTTTGATGCAAGACATAATCATTTCTACAACATATTTTGAGTAACTTGATATGAAATGAATAATATGGAATTATGAAATGAATTGAAATTTCTGAATGATTAAATCCAAACATATGAGATCAATATATAGTTATTGAAAAGGTTTGTCTCAAAAGACACAACTTATGCGAGAGATATAATTATTGGAATTAGTCTCTATATTTAAAGAGACACGTCTCTTGAAAAATGATAATGCCAAAAGTCATAATTTTTCATATAGAAAGACACATTTTCAGCCAAATAACTTCTAGAATATTCCATAATATTCTACGCACTTTTTCAATAATTCACGTATTAAATGATTTAAATTTGATTTAATTTTTCATTCACCAAATAATACAAAATTTTTAGCAAAATTTCAACAATTCCCCACATGAATGAAAATTAATGCAAATATCTATGCAGACACTAATAGAGAGAGCGGAAAAACTCTGAATCAAGGATGGTAGCTTCTAGTCTTGAACCTCCCTTAGTGAAATATTATCAGATTTATTCGGCTAACTGATGAATGTGATGTCTTGAACCATTCAGCCTTTAGTGTAAGCCAAGACAATGATACTCACACAATATCTTCCCTAAACCGTTCATGGTTCTTATGACTTGGTTCATTTTGGTCCTGAACCTTTCTTGGTTCTGCGATTATTTAGAGAATTTAAGCCCTAAATAATTTTCATTGAAGCGATCCCACTTCACACTCACAAAGGTGATCTCCTATTAAGAGTATTCTGCCTTATTCCACTTGATTTAATTAAGATATAGGAATCATTAAAAGATTATCTTAACCTCTTGTAACTTTACAGAAAGCACTTTAATATCATATGAATGAGTTAATAAATTATTTTCCTTAGTGTTTCATGGAGTCCTAATAATTTAGTTGTCCCTTTGAACCAAGATCTTGAGATCTCCAGTCAACAAGGTAGGGTTACCATTACAAGAACTCTAACGTAGTAAGCTTCAATCTCATTCCTTTCGATATGCAGAATACTTAATCTCTCAGTAAATCTCTTAAAGGTACCACGAGTTTACACTACTGAGATCATCTGTTTAATGATATTATATCTATGATTTATATGTCTAGACTTACCATTACATATGACTTAGTATCTTATCAAATATAGCTAGCCAATGATCGATTCATTTGATAGATACAAATTATCGCCACCAAAAAATCATCTCATGAAACTATATGCCTCATTAGCTTTATCTAAAGCTTTATCAACTTCCAAACACAGTTGGATGATTTCTATCAAACACTACACTAGTCAATCACTTTTACTAGTGAATTTCAGAATCATGGGTATTCAATATTATCATTGAAACATTACCATGCATTTGAACTTTATGAATATTCTTCATATATTACAATTGTTCTTGCATGTCTAAACAAACGCTATAATCAGCTTTATAATTCATTTCATCCACTTTAGACTTTGTATATATCATCCTTATAATATAAGGATTTTCTATCTTTCCACCTTCATAGATATCGTTCTGTGATTATAAAATAGAAGCAAACGTAACTGTTAAACTGAGTTACCCCCGCAATTTATCATGACCAAAGTGAAGGAATAACAACTTATATTCCAAACATTTATACATTCATTGCATAAATTTATTCCATTTATAGGAATGTTCACTTCCATATCATAAGAGATATTACAATCTCACATAGAAGAAAATGGTCACTCACAAGTTCCCAAGATATACAGTGTACAGAAACATCATATTTTTCGAGGCTAGCGGAAAAATTTCACAAACTGGAATGTTCGAAGTATGGCAAAATGTCAAGCGTAAATCCATTGGTTCAAATTATAGCAATATATGCATTTAATTATAGTCACACATGCCATCTGTCTTTCCAAATATTTTCATGAATTATATTACCAGATGCATGTAGAAATCTGCACATGCTTAAGGAAAAATACATATGCAAAGATGAAGGAAACTCTATAATTACAGTTATCTTCAAACGTCTCCATTCGTATTTTCAAATAATATTGGATTCCCATCCACGCATTGGTTCGAATTTTATTTCCGTTTTATGATACAAATATAGCAGAATTTCAAATTGAAGTTTTTGAACAAAACCAATTCCTTCCCTTAAGTGAGTAGTACGGTTGACAGATTCGAAACAAAATATACAATGCACAAAGAACACAAAATTCATCTTAATATTGTTGTGGAATAATACACCGATTATGTGTAAATTATATTTACAAAAGCATACCGTTTATTTGCGTGAAATCGAAATGTAATTTCGACTTATCGAAATAGAATTTGAGAAGCAAAACAATAATAGTTACCGAATCCGAATGCATGAATATGGATTTATCTCTTTCGATTCTTGAACGAAAGCAAACTATTCTTTGAATCAAACCTCACAAAACAAACATGTAAATAATGTTAATTAGTTTCTGAAATCAAACCATAATTAAGAGAAATCAGAAAATGAAGGTAGAAAAAAAGATGCAAGTGATGAATTTTTGGTTTAGGCAAGTGTTTGACACTTGATCCTTAAGATGAATTTGCCCCGCATCGGAGCTAAGGGTTTCCTGCAATCATCTCCCAAGATACAACGACCATGTCAAGCCATAGGAGCAATCCAAATGACCTTGACCAGTGAACTCGAGCGTAATTCCCTCTCTACCATAAACATGATTTTGATGCAAGACATAATTATTCCTACAACTTATTTTAAGTAACTTGACATGAAATGAATAATATGGAATTATGGAATGAATTGAAATTTCTGAATAATTAAATCCAAACATATGGGGTCAATATATAGATGTTGAAAATGTTTGTCTCAAAAGATACAACCTATGGAAGAGACACAACTATTGAAATTAGTCTCTATATTTAAAGAAACACGTCTCTTGAGAAATGACAATGTCAAAAGTCATAATCTTTCATATAGAAAGACACATTTTCTGCCAAATAACTTCTAGAATATTCCATAATATTCTATGCACTTTCCAATAATTCACGTATTTAAGTGATTTAAATTTGACTTAATTTTCCATTTATCAAATAATACGAAATTTCTAGCAAAATTCCAACAAATTTCAGGTGCCCGGGGACTTGGTAAGTTTTATCATACCTCGTAATTTCTCGTGTTCTATTTTTCTCTTTCAAGCATCCGGAATTTTTTTCTACTTTATTATTATTCCAATACAATATTTGGCATGTGTTTTTTCCCAACAACTACTCAATTGTCGGATCCTAAATAAGCGGTTGAGAGTGATGTTAAAATATGAGAACCACATTTCTATCTTTAAACAAGGGAATATGTCGGGATACTTTTGGATACATTCATAGGGACTGTGATATTTTGGACTTCTTAAATTTCAGATATGTTAATATATTTACACAATTTCCTTCAAATAATGAGTCTGAAGTGAATGGGAACTAGAAAGACACTACAGTTGACATATGATAATGAGGAGTATGAAAAAAGCATAAAGTGTAGTTATTTAGTTTTTCATTTATTTTTCTATCAAGAGACACGATAGTTTACTTGTTTTGTATTAAGGGCAGATTTAGGGTGGACTGAAGCCCAGCCCCTTTGTAGTCTGTTTGAAAATTATACATGGAAAATATTTTTTTTATTTTTACTTATAATATATTTTTTATGTGTAATATTTTATTTTTTTATTTATTATTTATTATTATTATTATTATTATTATTATTATTATTATTTTTACAGATTACCCTGGCTTAAATTTTTTTTAGTCTGATTCTGGATTTGTCCTTGATGTCACGTACTTCTATTTGTATTATATATATATATATATATATGTCACTTGACACCTAAGTAATTTTTTCAAAAACAAAAGTCAAAGACAAAGGAGAAGGCAAATGAAAGCACGGCCAACCTTGCATTTCACTCTTCAAATCACCTATTGTCTTGCAATTGGATTGGAGGATTTAGACGCACAGGATAGACGCACCAGTCAAAAATTGCCTTAACATACACGAGAGAGAATCACATTGATCATAGAGTAGACCCCATTAGAAGAAAATAATTGGAAAGGTTTAAAGAGATGAGTTGATTTGTTGGCTCGAATCTTGCTACATGTACATTATAATATATACTTTGTCACGTGGCATTATTTTATTGGGCAGTTTAAATTTCAAACAGTTTTTCCATCAAATTGACAGTTGACAACTATACGAGTGTGAACCAAAATGTCAAAAATCAGTGTACAAATAGCAAAGTTTTTGTGAGCTCAAACTAATTGCTTAATTTAGATAATTAATTATCACAAGTAGGTTGAGTTGTACAGTTAAAATGACTAATTACTCCAACCATTCAATCATCGAAATACAAACAAGACTCAAAAAAAAACTTCCACCATACCACACCCCACTCCCATTTCTCACTTTTCCCACCAAACTTTGAGTATTTTTAGTAGAATTTCTAGAAATAAAATCATTCTATCTTATATGTGAAGCCAAAACTCTAATATAAGAGTAGAAGTACAGATGTCTGTACTTCGACAATTCTTAATCTCTCTCTCAGTCTCTCCTAATTTTTAAATCTCTCTCTCTCTCTCTCTCTCTCTCTCTCTCTCTCTCTCTCTCTCTCTCTCATCTCTGTGTAGTGGAGTTTGAAGCTTGGATTTGCATATGTTTTAAGAAATGACAGATCGTATGGAAAAACTTGCACTTATTCCATTCTCATTGAGCTGTAATTCTGACTTAAGTGTTGCAGTTGGCACCACCCAATTACCTGAGAAGAAATATGCAGACCAAACTACAGACACAAGTTTGGTCGTACCAGGTATGCTCTCTCTCTCTCTCTCCCCTCTATACACAAAATTATCTTATTAATATTAGAGCGCAAGTGTAGTTATCGTGAATGATTTTTTTTTTTTTCCTCACATTGGCTGTTTGAATTGTGGGCACCATTTTTAAGGACAAAAGGAGGGAGAGGGAAAGCCTTCGAGAGAGAAATCAATGAAGAAAAGCAGGGGATTCTTGGCTCTTCCAAAACCACTTCTTTCGAAGGGCATACATAGATTGGTGAAGCATCTAAAAAGTTTTTCTCAGATGTTTGGTAAGTACATGAATTAACTGAAAGAATTTACATCTGTTATATACTCAAACTTTTTCTCCTTCTTCTTCTTCTTTTGTTTATGGGAAGAGATAGTATAAAATGCTACTGAAAATAGTTATAGATTAACATGAAAATGTAGAAAAGCGCCAACATAATTTTCTGTCTTCAAAATAATAATATAATGAATTTAGCTAAATAGGAAGAAGTTAGAAGTATAGTTTTATACTAAATAAGTTAGGGAATTCGTATTTGGTAAATTTAGTATTATTATGGAAAAAATCATATTCATTCTATGATAATTATTATGGTTTGTTTGTCTCATGGGAATGAAAATAACAAGGTGTTTCTTCCATAAAGAACAAGTGGTCGTATTGGGTTGGACGAGCAACCAGATTTAACATTTTCAACTTTTTTAGAAAATAAAAAAAATTAAAATGTTCATTTGGGTTCGTTCATATCACTTTTGGGAAGTTGGGACAGCCACACCTAATTTAAATGCTAATCCCAAATATGGAGATTGATCAATCAATTGATCCTTAGGATTCACGTTTCTACAAATTCTCTCCATGCATTATATATGGGATTTCTTGATATTATTGTTTCATGGCTAAATTACATATCCCACCAAGCAAGCATAATATATTACTCCCTTTTCCTAAGCAGATTTCAGATTCTCGTCCGACCCTAAACATGATATCTACGCGATGTCCTAAACATTTTATGATGTAGGAGTGTCAAAATGAGTAGAGTAATTAGGACCGATCCATCGACATCTGGACTCGTGTAAAATAGGTCGAAACAGTCTTCAAAATC